AGACAAGTTTAAAAAGTCACAGACGACCACAAAATTGCAGAGTACAACACAGTTCACAGAATGTGTTAAGCACCGTGGTTTGGTGATAAACGGGGCCGATCCAGTGATGGATTTAAACCCAAAACGTGTGTGACAATCATGCAGGCGGCAAGAGGATTAACAGACTTGTTTTGTGTATCAGTGCCAGTGGTCCACTTTAGTTAACGACCATCATGCGCACGTTGCTGTCCTCGCACACAACCGCAGCCTGCTGTCTGGGATTGGGTCCCACCAACACYGCGGGCTCGTTTCTGCTGAGCGACACACTTCCACAGTCGTAATTAAGATAATGCAGCAGATTCTACAGATCAGTATGTGAAGCACAAAGCGAGATCATTCACATTCAAAAGGTAAAAGAACAACACAACAGAGTCATTAAAGAAACAGATGCAAGGACTGGCTGTCTGTGTGGGGTAAATCTCCAAATCAGTTTTAGACTTGAAGACATGAATCTTTGAGAAGCGGGAAAAGCAAAAAGTCACACTCCGAGTTCTGACTTCCCACTGAGATAAAAGATGGTGTAACGGATTTTTCCTCAGACAAGGTCATTCAGTAAAACTGGTGCAGAAACTCGTGTACTGGATTGCAAAGACAAACTACACAACCAATACCTCTTTATTTCTTGGGTCTTTTGGGACACTTTAAGCAGTCAATTCTCCAGTTTTTCCAGCTTCTTAATGTTTGATTAATTTAATGCCTATCATTCCTTGAGGAAATGCATATCAACTGTCATGCTGAAGTTTTAAACTGTGATCATCTGAAATATTTTGGTACAGATAAACACTGGGATTTTGTCGTGATCTTCTTTCTTTTTTTTTTTTTTTTTTTTAGTTAAACTCGCATCAAAACCACAACTTAGTGACTCTGAAGCACCATCATAAAACTACACACAGACTGGTCATGTTAAATTTATACCCGCCTCTTCAGACCGGCTGCCTCTGACGAACTCGTTCTGACATCTTCTCAGTTAGACGGTTACAAAAGATATGTCCCAGCAGTGAAACCGTCCAACAATAAAGTGACAATTTGTTTCAKTTCAGGGTGGAAAAAACACACACACCTGAGGTTTTAGGCACAATTTGTTGACATAAAATAAAGGGAATTATTGTATTTGTAAGCAAATGTGCGTGTTAAGATTCATAACTGGTGCAAAGCGACAGCAGAGTTTAGTTAAATCTTCCGAGTCAAAATGCTGTGTTGGTCTCTTAATAAGATAAGTGTGTGAGGAGAATTATATTGTTGGTGCAGCTTGTTTGGAGATCTTTTAACACACAATTGCACTGGAGATAATGTGATGAAGGATGAGAAAAAATAAACACAAAGTTTTTTTTTCAGAGGTTTATGCAATTGAAATTTAAAGTTATTAGAGGTCAGTACTGATGCTAAAAGCACAACACTATATTCTTAGGTTTTCCTTTTTGTAATGTTGACAGTGTTTAATCTATTATGTTTTGAATGATATAGATTAGTTACATGTCCGAAATAAGTGGCAACACATAATCAACCGTTATGATAACAGTAGATGAGGRTTTTGTCTGAATGCCTGTGATTCAGCCGTAGGTCAGTAGGGGGCGAACACAGGCATCGAAGAAGGTGTATAAATACATGAACTTCCTGGTTTTTCGGCAGTGTTGGTTTCCTGTCAGCTGAGTGACAATAAACCTCACTCAGATCCAGAATTCTGGTGTTGTATGGTTTGATTCCTTCAACAAATCATTTTATTTAACAATGGTGTTTTTAATATCGACTTCAGTTTATTGAATACGGATTTTCTTACACAATGATTACATCATCCTGTAGTTAATGACATATTGCTAACAGAATTAACTTCAAGTATCCTAATAAAACAGTATTCTTGTAAATGCAATAAAAACATAAAATACTTTAAAAATGTAATAAAAACTGTTTTTTGTGTGTAAAAGGTATTTCAGTGTTTCCGTTTAACATAAAGTATGTACATGTGAACAGAAGTGAAAACAGCAGAAAAAAAGTACAAACAAACCCATAAATATTACCAAGTCCTCTGACTTGTTTTTTGCATATTTCTTTCTGTATTTACTTGGCCAGTGAAATGCAATCCTTCAGAAAAAGCTGTGGATGCAATAAAATGCATGAAAAAAAAAACATGAAATACCTTTTAAAAATCTAATAAAAGCCATTTATATGTTTTTGTGTTAAAGGTATTTGGTTTTTTTGTGTTACAGAGAAGAGTTTATGGTTTGGAATATTACAGTTTTACACAGTTCATAAGAAACTCCTGTAAACAGGAGTATTTTATGTAGAGAAGGAGCTGAGAATGAATTTGCTAWAATCTTTTAGGTGACTTTTCATTTTTCTTTTCTCTCAGTATTATCTCCATTCGCTTTGTTAACGTTAAAGCGTGTTTTTTTATGCTTTGTGTGATTTTGACCTGAATTCAACACGAAATCATTTGCTCCTTCATGTTATTGCAGGCACATCATCAACAATGAACAGACAGCTTTGCCCATCTGTCTCCAGCCTTCCTTGCTTGATAAAAATAGCGCACCTGCTAAAAACCTGCTGTTTGACATGAGATTTCTTGATGCTGTTTGATTGTTAGCAGGACGGAGAGGAGCAGTGCTTTCCTTTTCTTGTAATGCAAATTTTTTAAAAAAGACATTACTTGCTGCGTGGAACTTGTTCACTGAAAATGGTTTTCTTTGATTAATCCTCTGCAAAAAGCTCCCTCTTTTGTTTGCCAATTAACTGCAGTGTTTGCTGCACCTTTTTTTTAAAACCCATTTCCCATATGTTTGTTTGAAGGTAAATCCAAAGTGCCAGTCTTCACGTTCRAAATGAAAGCATCACGAGATGTTTTGAACGCTGCTTTATAAGATWAGCTGCTTTTGCTCTAATGAAGCTCGGTGACCTGCATCATTACGCCTCCTGGAGCTGATCCACAGTAAGAAGCTCACAGTAAATATCAATGCGGCATCCCGGATGAGTTCTTGGGGAGTTTCTTGGCAGGTACATAACTGGCGAGAGTAATTGGGCTACAAGGGACATTTTGGAGCGACCTAAGTYGGTGCCCGTGTGCAGACAAGTTGCTAATGAGAAGCAAAGGCTGGCATTTYCATGCACAAAGCAACATCAACTGCCTTTCTTTTTTTCATTATTATTTTTTTATTTTTGGTAACACAAACTGTGGCATCARGGACGGTCTGCGCGAGCACGTTCCTCTGACTCGTGTGTTTTTACGTCTCAGGTGCAGAAGGGCTGTCACAGTCCAATTAGGGAGAACATGTAAGAGAGGGGGAAACAAAAAGAAAACAGCRGCGTGAAGTTGGTTAATTGGCCATCGAGCGACCAGAATCTACGGTCTTTTCACTGCTAATTGGCACAGACTCTACAACTTTACAAAAAAAATAAAAAATCAACTTCAGAGGAGCGGCTTGTTTACACGAGGTTTTAAAACCGTTGTAACGCAAGGCCTGAAACCTATTTAATGTTATTTTAATAGAACTCTATTATCAAACAAATCACTGAGACCTGAGCGTGTAAATGTTACAAAATCCTGTTTTCCAATAAACAGTAAGTTGCAGCTGAATTTTTTTAAGTTTTGAAACTATACTGATGTATAAAAGAATGATCAGTCCAAGCTGAACTTGCATGAGATTCATAATTTCTGCTAAAGTTTGCATCATCTTCTTGCCGTAGGGCTCGTAAAGCTCTGTTTGCCTCTTGCTCTTGGTTGCACAAATAAATGATAACGTTCTCCTCAAAGCAGAATATTTTAAAATCACACTCTTAAATTGCCACTTTGTCTTGTTTGTGTTACAAATACCAGTTTTAAAAAAATGAAWCAATTTCTGCTTTTATTTTGTGATTTGTAAGAAGCTGAGAACATTTTGTTTGCTGCGTTACTGAGAGGAGTTTTTCTTGAACCCACGTCCCCTCGGGGCCTCCATAATGTCCTATTAAAAACCAAAGAAGAAGAAACTGTTCTACGGTTCACTCAGTAGAGTTTGTTGTCTGAAAAGTCCATCTTAACTTTAGGTTTCCCTCAATCTTAATGCTAATTTCATAATTTTGTTTCCGTTTCTACAATCCAGATGCGRATGCTGCAGCGCTGAGGTAGACCGTAGCGTCGCCACAGGAGCTGACGCCGCTCCCAGAACGCCTTTGTGTCATTTGCATTCAGGTTCCACTCTGTGGTTCTGAGTAAACCTAAGTCACACCGGGAGGTTACACAACTCATTACTTCCATCATAATTCATATCTATAATTAACTCGGCTGTACTCTGATTTTAGCTGCTGCTACATACATCACGAGGCTCCCAGTGATAACTTGTTAGCACGAGCTGCAGTTACTCACACAAGATTAAATGAATTAGGTCTCTTGGCGCAGCTCGAGCTTTCATCAGCTATTTATCTTTTAACAAGATGGCACCGAGGTCTTTTAGGATTTCTGTCCAAAATAAAATACTCTATTTGCCCTTCCAGGAAAAACGTGGTAGTTTTTATTTTATTTTATTTTTTTACAAAATACTCATCTTTTCTTGGGAATCCAGAACAAGAAATGTCTAAAGGTTTACAAAGCAAGATGTCAAGCTTGCCGTCAAACTTTGTATTTACACGTCATTCACAATAAATGTGTTTACTCATTGTCACCGCAGTGACAGACAGTTGGAAAAACAACTAAATATTGTTTAACTGAATGTGTTTGACTCGTCTGATTTATCTGTATCACCAGACATGAGCAGGCAATAATGCTTTTGCCCATTTCTGTTTTAAATCTGTACAGTTAGCAAAATATCCCTCGAACCAATGAATAGATTTGAATGAAAGAATCAAGATGAAACAGAAACGTAAAATAAAATACCACAAGTTGATCTTAAATCTAACAGCAACATCTTCTTCCTTGTGTTTTTTTTTTTTTTCCCATCGTATTTCTGGGGCATGTTGAGATCTGCCGTGTTAATCTGCGTGTCTTTTTTTAGGCACCACACGGCTTCCTCGAGAGGGAGAAGTGCCTGGTGTGGACTACAACTTCATCAGCGTCGGAGACTTCAGGATCTTGGAAGAGAGTGGACTTCTGCTGGAGAGCGGGACCTACGATGGTAAGAAGAAGCTCTGAATATGTGGGAACGTGTCTCCGTGAATTTATTTCCACATTTTACACCAAGATCTCCTTCAGAATAAAGCTCATTTTCCCTCGTGTGCTATTTTAAAATTTCAAAATTTCATCTTTTCGCTGTCGAGCGGAGTGAGAAGGACCAAAAAAAATGTTGGTGATCCGTGAAATGCATTGTAAAATTGTTGGGAACTATAGTAAAATAGCAGCAGACTTTGTAGCACTTGTGTTAAAATGCTAATGTTTAGTTTCTCCCCTCTGAGAGCAGAATAGGCCTCCGACAGATGCAACAAAAATGTGGTCCTCGGATTTAAATAGAAATAGAAAAATTGTAGAAATCTGCCAAAACAGAGGATTTTATTTTCTTTACCAGAGAAGACAAAAATAGTCTAATAGTTACCAGAGTTTTACGAACAAAAACACCCACTGTTAGTCACCTGTGGAGAGTAACAACACTGATAATTAGTAAAAGCTTACCATTCCTTGAAGTAATGCATATTGTTTTAAACTAAAACCATCTTATGTTAAGAAACAAGGAAGAACTCGATGCCTCCACCAGCCCTACAGTCATTTGCATTTAAAGCAGTGGATATGCAGTTACCTGTTTACCTTTATTTGTGAACTTAAAGGGACAATATTATGTGTTTCTCAGGCATACATTTAAATACTATACCATAATAAAGTATCTTTGTC